TTTTAATGACCTCTGGTCCCAACTCATCTTTCTCAATCACTGTGGTGGCCAGAGAAACAGACGCCACCTCCCTCCATGCTTTCAGGAGGTTAAGGTGGTAAATCTGTGTTGCTCCTCCCCTGTCAGAACGCACCACCTCATAATCTACGTCCCCCACTCGTCGTGTGACCACGAAGGGTCCTTGCCACTTGGCGAGTAGTTTAGAGCTAGAGGATGAGAGTAATACAAGCACTTTATCTCCCGGTGAAAATTGTCTCAGTTTCGACCCTCTGTTGTACAGGCGCTGCTGACGTTCCTGAGCCTGGAGCAAATTCTCCCGTGATATCTGCCCCAGTGAGTGGAGTTTTGCTCGCAGGTCCATAACGTACTGTATTTCGTTTTTACTGGTGCTTGGACCCTCCTCCCAATTTTCCTTAACTAGGTCCAAAACACCCCGGGGCTTCCTACCAAATAAAAGCTCAAAGGGAGAAAATCCCGTGGAGGACTGGGGCACCTCCCGCACTGCAAACAACAGAGGATCTAGCCATTTATCCCAATTCCGACTATCTTCGTGAACGAACTTACGAACCATGTTCTTTAGTGTTTTGTTAAACCGTTCCACTAGGCCGTCGGTCTGCGGATGGTAAACACTAGTCCGTATTGAATGGACGCCCAGTAGTTCATACAGCTCGCGTAGTGTGCGTGACATAAACTGTGTGCCCTGGTCAGTCAGGATCTCTTTCGGGATCCCGACTCGGGAGATAATGTGAAACAGTGCCTGCGCGACGCTCTTTGCAGAGATATTACGCAGCGGCACTGCTTCAGGATATCGCGTTACATAATCCACTAGGACTAGTACAAAGCGATATCCCCGTGCACTCCGGTCTAATGGCCCGATGAGGTCCATACCAACTCTCTCAAAAGGCACCTCAATCAATGGTAACGGGCGCAAAGGCGCTCTGGGGATGGCCGGCGGGTTAACCAGCTGACATTCACGGCAAGATGCACACCACCGCTTCACATCTGCGCGAATGCCCGGCCAATAAAATCGGGCCATTATCCGGTGTAGTGATTTGTCGTACCCTAGGTGACCTGACATGGGGTTATAATGAGCCGCCTGGAAAACCATTTCCCGACGGCTTTTTGGCACCAACAACTGGGTATTTATCTCTCCTGTCTGTGTGTCACGGCTTACACGATACAGCCTGTCCCTAACCACCGTAAAGTGTGGGTGAGTGAGTGCTGCGTTTGGGTGTAGCTGGGAGCCATCAATACTCACCACCTGGCCGAAGGCGTGCTGAAGGGTCTCGTCCCTCGACTGTTCGAGGGGGAAATCCTCCACGGGAAACACCAGCGGGTCCAGAGGGGCCTCCGCGGCCCCCTCCGTGTCAGTTTCCCCCTCGACGTCGTCAGCCGCCTCCGACTCTCCACTAAACACAGCACACAACTCACATTTCCCTGCCGTCCGTGAACGCACCCCCATAGCCCCCGCTAGCTTAGCAAACCCCGGCCAATTCGTTCCCAAAATCAGGGGGTGCGTAAGGCGAGTGCTAACTCCAGCCCTGACTCTATGCTTTTTCCCCTTATAAGAAATTTCCAGCGTCACCTCCGGGTACTGGTGAATATCCCCATGCACACACCTCACCTTCATCCACGATGCTTCAATCAATGCCCCAGGCCGAACCAAGCGCTGATGGATCATCGTCTGATTACAGCCCGTGTCCATCAGAGCCTGGTGTGTACCCCCCTGTATACATACCGGTATACGGTACGTCCCTTCCAAATCGGGGGAGGCAACTGGCGGTCCCGCAACCCGAACCAGCTGTCCGACCTCCACGAGAGGACACTCCCGTCGGAAGTGGCCGGGCTGCCCGCACCGCCAGCAATCCTGCCCTGACGTCTGAGGAGCCCCCCGTGTTGCCGGACGACCAGAAGCATAGGCCGGACCCTGGGGAGAGATAAACACAGGAGGGTAAGGTAGGGCTTGGGGGAAAAGTGTCGGGGCTGCGGGGTTGGGGCCGTGTGGTGGTGGGGAGGGAAGGGCAGCTGCTCCCGGAAACCTCCTCCTCGGGGCTGGGACGGGTCAGGCCGCTGAAACGGCTGGTGGTCGGGGCTCCTCTTTCATGCTCCGCCGGGGAAGCGAGAGGTGGTCCTCCGCGAGGACGACGGCTGCTTCCAGGTTGGCGGGGCGATGGCACTGGACCCAATTCGCCGTCGAAGATGGCAGGCCGGCGATTAACTGCTCCATCGCCACCTGCCCGACGACTTCCTCAGCGGAGCACACCCACGGCTGAAGCCAGCGGCTCGCTGCATCCCTGAGCCGCTGCGCGTAGGAGAAGGGCCGGTCAGCGTCCTCGAAGGGGAGGGCCCGGAACCGGCGGCGATGTCCCTCTGGCGTGCTGCCAAGCCGGTCCAGTATGGCCTTCCTCAGATGCCGGTACACATGCCGAGAGGCTGTGGGCGGCTAGCTGTGCATCCCCAGATAGCAGAGGCAATAGCCGGGCCGCCCACTCCTCCTCTGGCCACCCGCACACCGCCGCTGTGCCCTCAAAGATGTCCAGGTATGCCTCCGGATCATCCTCTGCCGTCAACTTCTGGAGGGCAATTGAAGGCGGTCGGGCCGGGTTGGTCGCGGGATCGGCCTCCTGAGTGGTCGGACGCTGCAGCAGCTCCCGTAGGAGAGCCCGGTCCTCGCGCTGGCTCGAGGCGATCCCGAGCAGAGCCTCGCTCTGCTGTCGCTGTAATGCTGTGGTGGTCTCCTGCATGTGAGCGAGACGTTGGAGGGCCTGCCCCAGCGGGGTTTCTCCTTCCGCCATGATGTCCCTGTTCAGGCGCCACTGTGAGCCTCTCCGCTCACACAGGGTTCAATTATGGACGGAAGAGCAGGTTCGTGTAACATATATGGCGTTTATTAGCTCCAAACAAAAGTATCCACTACTCCAACGTTGCCCGCGTGGCAACCTTCACAGGTCCTTTTGCCCCCTTCCAGGATCCCGCCTACTGCAAAACAGCCCAGAACCAGGTTACTACATGCTTTTATTCCGGCACTGATTACCTGATTCCGATCAGCTGTCTGGCCTCCGGCCGAGCCACTCCCTTCACTCCAGCACCCTAACCCCACCCCGCTGCCACAATGAGCATGTCCACATTTCCAGGTATTTATAAGCTGGGATGTTTGGGCATTTACAAAATCCCCTGCTCTGGAAAGAACTCTCTCGCTTGGTATTGATGTTGCTGGGACAGCAGTGGTCGCGTTAACCGAATATTTTATTTAACAATGACTAGGGGTGTAACGGTTCACAGAAGTCACGGTTCGGTACGGTTTCGGTACAACAAGGAAAAGCAAAGAAAAGTCCCAAATGCATAATTTTTTTTTGCTGTTATTTATTTTTAACAGTAGTGCAAGTTTTGGTATGAAAATAAGGAACTCTAACATTTGGAATCACTAACTGTATTACACAGTTAAAAACAAACCACAAACAGTAACACACACACACACACACACACACACACACACACACACACACACACACACACACACACACACACACACACATTCACCACACACACACACACACTCACACTCTCTCACACACACACTCAGATGGCCATAGTATCTATAATGGCTGATGTCAAACTAAAAGGTTCAATAAGCTGAACAACTAAAAAGAATGTCTTGAACATATTTAAATAAATAATAAGAAAGTGTTTCAATCACAATCAATAAAAGGCAATACAGAACTGTATAACATCTCCTGATGTCAACATATAAAATAAATACAATGATAAATATAAAATAAAATCTGTACCTTTAGGAGCAATGTCTAACATGTGTAATTAACTTGTGAGTGTGTGAGGCCATTATGCCTAAATAAAGCTACTCAAGCTTTACTCTATTTTCAAGTTGTTCTTCAAAAAGATGAGTTTGTCTACGTTGTCAGCAGTGAGGGCAGATCTGTTGGCGGTAACTATGTCACCTGCCGTCGAGAAAACCCTCTCGCTGGGACTGAGACTGACTCGGATGTGATTGAGCATGTTTGACGTGTTACCACTAGCACACCGTCCTCGTTCGATCCACAACTCGCACCCCATCATTGTTGTAGTCCACCCCATCATTGTTGTAGTCCACCCCATCATTGTTGTAGTCCACCCCATCATTGTTGTAGTCCACCCCATCATTGTTGTAGTCCACAGGGAACCCGAAATGTTCCCACAGCTGATTTCAAAGAAGCAGGTGGGTCTTCTAGCTGTGTGTTGTGTGAACTCGCCATAGCTAACTTTTCTTCTTCATGTATTGTGTTCGTTTTGTTGTGTTCTTGTTCTTGCAAAAAGCACTTTCTTTCAAGATAAGATCCAATCTTCCTATTCCAATCCTAAAAAACTATTCTCCATCTTCTCCACCCTCTTGGACCCTCCAAAAGCTCCTCCCCCCTCCTCACTTCTGTCAAGCGACTTTGTTACCCACTTTGAAAAAAAGGTTGATGATATTCGCTCTTCTTTTTCTGACTCACCTTTACTCACCGCTGGGTCACCAGACCCTCCTTCCACCAACACACTAACCACCTTTTCCCCTCTCTCTCCAAGTGAGGTTCTTACCCTCATTACCTCTGCCCGCCCTACCACCTGTCCTCTGGACCCTATCCCTTCAAACCTCCTTCAGACTATCGCTCCTGATATTCTACCGTTTCTCACCCATTTCATCAACACTTCTCTAACTTCTGGTCACTTTCCTAACAGTCTCAAGGAGGCAAGAGTAAACCCTCTCCTAAAGAAACCCACTCTCAACCCGTCTGATGTTATAAACTACAGGCCTGTCTCTCTCCTCCCGTTCCTGTCTAAATCACTTGAACGCGCTGTCTTTAAACAACTCTCCTGTTATCTCAATCAGAACAACCTTCTGGATCCGCACCAGTCTGGTTTCAAGGCAGGTCACTCCACAGAAACTGCTCTCATTGCTGTCACGGAGGAACTGCACACTGCCAAAACTGCATCCCTCTCCTCTGTCATCATCCTATTGGACCTGTCTGCTGCATTCGACACGGTGAATCATCAGATCCTCCTTCGCACTCTCCAAGAACTTGGAGTTTCAGGCTCTGCACTTTCCCTCCTCACCTCAAACCTCAAAGACCGTACCTACAGGGTGACTTGGAGAGAGTCTGAGTCCGACCCTTGTCAGTTAACTACGGGGGTCCCTCAGGGCTCTGTTCTTGGTCCCCTCCTCTTCTCCCTGTACACAAACTCGCTCGGATCAGTCATTAGCCCGCATGGTTTTTCTTACCACTGCTACGCTGAATCTGGGTGTGACCCTAGATAACAACCTGTCCTTCACTGCAAACATCGCTGCTACAACCCGTTGCTGCAGATACACGCTTTACAACATCAGGAAGATACGTCCCCAGCTGACACAGAAAGCGACTCAGGTTCTGGTCCAGGCTCTCGTCATCTCACGCCTAGACTACTGCAACTCCCTCCTGGCTGGTCTACCTGCATGTGCCATCCGACCTCTGCAGCTCATCCAGAATGCAGCGGCTCGTCTGGTCTTCAACCTTCCTAAATGTTCCCACACCACTCCGCTCCTCCGCTCCCTTCACTGGCTTCCGGTAACTGCTAGAATCCACTTCAAGACACTGGTACTTGCTTACCATGCTGCGAGTGGATCTGGCCCTTCGTACATCCAGGACATGGTTAAACCGTACACCCCAGCGCGTGCACTACGCTCTGCATCAGCCAAACGACTCGCTGCGCCCTCGCTGCGAGGGGGACCCAAGTTCCCATCGGTGAAAACACGTGGGTTTGCTGTCCTGGCTCCAAGATGGTAGAATGAGCTCCCATTGACATCAGGACGGCAGATAGATTGCACATCTTCCGGCGCAAACTGAAAACTCATCTCTTTCGATTCCACTTCGAGCGATAGAACTATTAACGAAGCACTTTTATACTAATATAGGACTGGCTTATCTAAAAGCCAGTTGAGTAGCACTTGAAATGTTTGGCTCTATGAAACCTGATGTACTTTATGATTCTGTTTTCTTCAAGTTGTATTTTGTTGGTCGAACGCACTTATTGTAAGTCGCTTTGGATAAAAGCGTCAGCTAAATGCAATGTAATGTATTGTAATCTAATGTTCTTCATTTGTTATTTACGGGCGGCTGGCTTTTAGGCGCAATACCGCCCCCTGGATTATATATAGTGTAATACTGCCCTGAGTGACAGACTTTTTTCCCACTCGTAAAAAAAGGCGTATTCGCCGTGTGACTGCATGTGCCGAACCGTGACGTCCGAACCGTGATGGTACGGGATGAATACGGATACCGTTACACCCCTAGCAATGACGGAAAAATCTGAAAGCAGTCTGTCATTTTGACAGATTAGAACAAACTCGGAACAGCGCCAAGGTTTCCCCGCAGCGAGGCTCTGGTGTTATGCCGTGTTATGCATGCCCTCCAAAAGGAAATGATAGTTTCCAAACCGTACTTTGCCGTACAGATCAACACATGTCTGGGAGGTTTTGCTTTACGCTGTGCGCGCTCCCGCGAGGTGCATGCGCACACGGCATAACACCGCCCCCCCCCCTTTGACAGTTCACGAGCGTGTTCTCTCTCTCTGTTCAGACCCGACGGGTAATAAGGGATTATGACGGACATTTTCCGATCCTGTCTGTCAAAATGACGGACAGCGAAAAAGTCTAACGCCACCTCAGTGGGACGGAGAGATATGCTTTGGCCATGGGTGACAGCAGTGGGTCAAACCGTGCATTGTCTCTCCACCACTTCAAAAACAATACAGTGTTTGCCAAGAAGGTGAGGCTTATTGACAGAGATATAAATATACTGTTGGTACTTGTCAATGTCTCTAGGTGTGTACATGTAGCCCTGTAAATACGATACCTTTTGTTTTCTGTTGTTTTATGTTCTTGTTGTAACCTACTTGCTGCCATGTTGGACAGGTCTCTTGAAAAAGAGATCGATGATCTCAATGGGACCACCTGGTTAAATAAAGGTTTAAAAAAAAAAAAGTGTTTTAAAAAAATTATATATAAAAAAATTATATATAAAAATAAAAAAATTAATTAAAAAAAGAAAAATCGCGGTAGATTTAGTCTCACGACGGTATTGGGACGTTTATTTACCGCGATATTCGGTATATCGTTACATCCCTAATGGTAACACAAGGCTCGCCATGAAACACGGTTTTCTCATAACTTTAGTTCAAATGCTCCTAACGGCCCAAAACTTCACAGGTTTGGTAACGATGCAGCCATCAATGCATCTAAGCGTAGTATAAGGTGTCATCAAATACCGTTGGCATGGCGACAGATCATTCGCCATCAAGTTAGTTCAGAAGTTTGCGGTTCAAATACTCTGCTGCTTTTCCAAGCCTTTTCACTTTATTTTCTTCTCTCATCACACATTCAAGCCCCCAGAGTTCATGTTTCATTTCAATCTCAACTCTTCACTTTCTTCAGCAGTTCAGCATAAAGCATTCCCACTAGCAATTTCTTCAGGAATTGCATTCTCTAGTTCCTATTATAATGCAAATAATCATTATACAATAATACAAATAATAAAATAATAGTATTAACAATAATATTTAGAGTTTGATTCCAGATGACATTTCTAAATTAAAGTTTGTATTTATTTATGATAACTTTGTTGACGTCTGTCAGGTTGCCGTGGTGAAGATGAAGCACACGGAGAGAGTCTACGCCATGAAGATCCTCAACAAGTGGGAGATGCTGAAGAGAGCCGAGGTGAGTCTGTTAGCGTGTGGCTTCTGACATGCTAACAGTAGCGTGTGGCTTCTGACATGCAAACATTAGCGTGTGGCTTCTGACATGCTAACAGTAGCGTGTGGCTTCTGACATGCTAACAGTAGCGTGTGGCTTCTGACATGCTAACATTAGTGTGTGGCTTCTGACATGCTAACATTAGGGTGTTGCTTCTGACATGCTAACATTAGCATGCAGCTTCTGACATGCTAACATTAGGGTGTGGCTTCTGACATGCTAACATTAGCGTGCAGCTTTTGACATGCTAACATTAGGGTGTGGCTTCTGACATGCTAACATTAGCGTGCGGCTTCTGACATGCTAACATTAGGGTGTGGCTTCTGACATGCTAACATTAGCGTGTGGCTTCTGACATGCTAACAGTAGCGTGTGGCTTCTGACATGCTAACAGTAGCGTGTGGCTTCTGACATGCTAACAGTAGTGTGTGGCTTCTTACATGCTAACAGTAGCGTGTGACTTCTGACATGCTAACATTAGCGTGTGGCTTCTGACATGCTAACATTAGCGTGTTGCTTCTGACATGCTAACATTATCTTGTTGCTCGACATGCTAACATTAGCGTGTTGCTTCTGACATGCTAACATTAGCTTGTTGCTGACATGCTAACATTAGCTTGTTGCTTCTGACATGCTAACATTAGCTTGTTGCTTCTGACATGCTAACATTATCTTGTTGCTCGACATGCTAACATTAGCTTGTTGCTTCTGACATGCTAACATTAGCTTGTTGCTTCTGACATGCTAACATTAGCTGGTTGCTTCTGACATGTGTGCAGACGGCGTGTTTCCGAGAGGAGCGTGATGTCCTGGTCAGAGGGGACAGTCAGTGGATCACCACGCTGCACTACGCCTTCCAGGACGACAACTACCTGGTGAGTACTACTGCTATATATATATATATATATTTATAAAACGGACAAATAAAATCAAGCAATCTGATCATATACCACAGCCTGTCGTGAGCTATTGCTTAAATATATATATAATATACATATGTTAGCATGATGGTGTATTGGAGGAGGAGCTGCTTTGCATATGGTGAAAAAAAAAACCTGGTGATCATAATACTGCACATATTTATACAACAAACGTGTGTATTTGCAGTACCTGGTGATGGATTACTACGTGGGGGGGGACCTGCTGACGCTGCTCAGTAAGTTTGAGGATCGACTTCCTGAAGACATGTCCAAGTTCTACCTGGCTGAGATGGTGCTGGCCATCCACTCCATCCACCTGCAGAACTACATACACAGGTACTAGTACACAGGTACTAATGCTGCATACTGAGAGTACTCCATCCACCTGCAGAACTACATACACAGGTACTAGTACACAGGTACTAATACTGCATACTGAGAGTACTCCATCCACCTGCAGAACTACATACACAGGTACTAGTACACAGGTACTAATACTGCATACTGAGAGTACTCCATCCACCTGCAGAACTACATACATAGGTACTAATACTGATTTGATGTGTTTTAATGGTTATTAATTGTACTTAATGGTGATTTGATGTGTTCGGTTGTCAGAGACATCAAACCGGACAACGTCCTGCTGGACGTTAACGGTCACATTCGACTCGCTGACTTTGGATCTTGTCTCCGAATGATGGAGGACGGAACGGTAAACTAACCAGCTGCAGTTACATCACAAACATTATATTATAATATATTATATTACAATACAGTATATTAGCAGTGGTGGCTGAGAGGAGGGGTATAAATGATGAAAAGCAGGGGACCAAGTACAGAGCCCTGGGGGACGCCGTGGGTGACTGAAGCAATGTAACCCGGTTTAGTGCAACCCGGTTTATTGTAACCCGGTTTATTGTAACCCGGTTTAGTGTAACCTGGTTTAGGTGTAACCCGGTTTAGTGTAACCCGGTTTAGTGTAATCCGGTTTAGTGTAACCTGGTTTAGGTGTAACCCGGTTTAGTGTAATCCGGTTTATTATAACCCGGTTTAGGTGTAACCCGGTTTAGTGTAACCTGGTTCTATGCGGTGTGCAGGTGCAGTCCTCGGTGGCAGTGGGCACTCCGGACTACATCTCTCCGGAGATCCTGCAGGCGATGGAGGACGGGAGGGGTCGCTACGGGCCGGAGTGCGACTGGTGGTCTCTGGGCGTCTGCATGTACGAGATGCTCTACGGGGAGACGCCCTTCTACGCAGAGTCTCTGGTGGAAACCTACGGCAAGATCATGAACCACGAGGTCAGTCTGAGGCCTGCAGGTCTATAACCCTCACCGTTATACGTGACATCAACACTCAACATGTTCCTACCAGAGAGTCCATTCAGGCCATGGTCGACTGATCGTCACATGTTTATGATATATTATGATATTAATAATAAACAGCCGACTATCTTTAAGTCGTGTATTCGGGGGCAGCCCTAATAACTTCTCTAGTGTTGCTTTCTCTTTATTCTCCATATTCCTGTTTCTCTGTGTCCTCTGATGAAGCTCTGAAAGCAGATCCAGGTCACCTGTCTCCAGACTCTCGTCCTACTTCCAGCTTTCTAAATCTGAACTTGTCCTCGTTTGTCACACTTGCATCATCCGGTTCTGTCCTTGTTCTCACTAAGACGTTTAACTGTTTACCTATTATTGCTCTGATACCCCGTATGTGTTGTGTCTGCAGGAGCGTTTCCAGTTCCCCTCCCACACCACCGAGCTGTCGGAGGACGCTAAGGACCTGATCCAGCGCCTGCTGTGTTCCCGGGAACGCCGCCTTGGCCTCAACGGCATCTCCGACTTTAAGAGCCACCCGTTCTTCAGTGGCATCGACTGGGACAACATCCGCTCCACAGAGGCGCCGTACATCCCCGACGTGTCGTCGCCTACCGACACCTCCAACTTCGACGTGGACGACGACGTCCTCAAGAACCCGGTGAGTACCATTAAACAGAGGGTGATCACAGTATGAATACTACCATACTAGTATATGTGTAGTACACATTATACAGAGGGTGATCACAGTATGAATACTACCATACGAGTATATGTAGTACACATTACAGAGGGTGATCACAGTATGAATACTACCATACGAGTATATGTAGTACACATTACAGAGGGTGATCACAGTATGAATACTACCATACGATATTTCTAATTAATTTAATGTTGATGTTTTGCAGGACATCAACCCTCCGATGTCTCACAGCGGCTTCACCGGGCAGCACCTGCCCTTCGTTGGCTTCACCTACACCACGGACAGCTGCTTCGCCGACCGCCGCTCCGTGGGTAAGGGGGGGGCGCAGGAGGTGGAAGGGGGGGGGCAGGAAGTGGAGGGGGGGGGGGCAGGAGGTGGAGGCGTTCGAGAGGAGGATCCGCCGCCTGGAGCAGGAGAAACAGGAGCTGAACCGCAAACTGCAGGGTGAGACGCTGAAGCCAAACAGGAAGTAGTTCCTCCGACCTGTGGGAGAAACAGGATGTAGCTAACCCCCCTCTCTGATTTCAGAGTCCACCCAGGCGCTGCAGGCTCCTCGGGGGGGAACTCTGGGTCGGGACAAAGAGATCCAGAAGCTGAACGAGGAGATCGAGCGTCTGAGGAAGAAGCTGGCAGGTCAGAGTTCAGGAAGAGTTGATGAACCCTGATGTGCCTCTTTCTGATGTGTTCCCTGCAGTAAGCCCCGCCCCTCTCTCTCTGCTAGACTCTGATAGGCTGGAGCACCAGCTGGAGGAGGCTGTCACTCTGAGGCAGGACTACGAGAGCTCCGCCTCCAAACTCAAGACCCTGGAGCGCCAGCTGAAGACCCTGAGGCTGGAGAAGGAGGATGTGCACAAGGTACTGAAATAGAAGAAGAAGAAGGACCTTTATTAATCCCCCGAGGGGGAAATTCAGTTTCCACTCTGTCGTACACACACGTGCGTTTTTTATACAGGTCATACAGTACACACTTTTTAGAACATGCACATACATATGTAAATACACACACAGTTATATGCACACATGCAGTTGAGAGGTCAGAGCGGAGGCAGCCAGTCTAGCCGGCACCAGTGAGCATTTGGGGGTTAGGTGCCATGCTCAAGGGCACTTCGGCAGTGGCCCAGGAGGTGAACTGGCTCCTCTCCAGTACGTGAACCTACATCCTGTGTGAACACATGCATCTCCTGTGAACACATGCATCTCCTGTATAATATGTATATAATATGTATATTGCAGCAGCTGGCGGAGGCCCTGGAGCGCCTGCGTTCCCAGGGGAAGGATTTAAAGGACGCACACTCCCAGAGGAAGTTGGCGCTGCAGGAGTTCTCAGAGCTGTCGGAGAAGATGGCCGACTTGCGATCATCCAAGCAGCGAATCAGCCGTCAGCTGCGAGACAAAGAGGAGGAGCTAGACACCCTGCTGGGGAAGATGGACGCCATGAGGCAGGAGATCCGCAAGACCGAGAAAACCCGCAAAGAGGTGAGTTTAAAAAACCGAGGGGGGGGGGAATAACTCACCTGTCTGCATGCCATCAGACTCCTGATTGGAGGTCAGAGCCTTATATATGTTAAGCCCCTCCCCTTAGGCCAACCCACTGCTCATCAAATGAATGAAACTAATAATAAATATCTACAAAAGTATTCTCAGTTATCTTAATATATATATATATATATATATATATAATTGTGTTTGTCAGCTGGAGGCTCAGCTGGACGATGCACTCACTTCCTGTCTGGCAGACCTTCAGAATAAAAGCATAATGTGTTTGTCTGCTGGAGGCTCAGCTGGACGATGCACTCACTTCCTGTCTGGCAGACCTTCAGAATAAAAGCATCATGTGTTTTTCAGCTGGAGGCTCAGCTGGACGATGCCAAGGCTGAGGCTTCCAAGGAGAGGAAGCTGAGGGAGCACAGTGAGGGATTCTGCAGCCAGCTGGAGGAGGAGCTGCATGGTCTGAAGGTACACACACACACACACACACACACGCACACGCGCACACGCACACGCACACGCACACACACACACACACACACACACACACACACACACACACACACACACACACACACACACACACACACACAATAAGGGATTCTGCAGGTACACAACAGACTGTTGTATTTAATGTTAAAGCTTGTTCTGTCCCAGTCTCTGCAGGGCCGCGGGGGGGCAGTGGGGGGGTCCCAGCAGGAGCTGATGCGTCTGAAGGCAGAACTCGATAAGAAGGTTCTTTTCTACGAGGAGGAGCTGCTGAGGAGAGACTCGACCCACTCCTGCGACCTCAAGAACCTCCGAAAAGACCTGCAGGAGGCCGAGGGGGGGGGCGCTGTCCGCCACCAAGGAACTGCTGCAGCTCAGGGACCGGCTGGACAAGGACAAGAGGGACAGGTGAGGGGGGGACATGCGAGGGGGGGACAGGTGAGGGGGTCTCTATCGTAAGTGGTCCTGAAGCAGCTTGTGTTTTGCCTCAGACACCTGGAGATGGATGAAGCTGTGTCTGCGCTGAAGGAGAAGTCTGAGCGAGAGAAGCACCTGCTGACGCAAGAAAACCTCAAACTGACGGCAGAAACTGACAAGGTGATAAACCAATTCCATTCCCGTTCTGCACATGCTCAGTGAGTCACTGGTGGTTCTGCACATGCTCAGTGAGTCTCTGGTGGTTCTGCACATGCTCAGTGAGTCTCTGGTGGTTCTGCACATGCTCAGTGAGTCTCTGGTGGTTCTGCACATGCTCAGTGAGTCTCTGGTGGTTCTGCACATGCTCAGTGAGTCTCTGGTGGTTCTGCACATGCTCAGTGAGTCTCTGGTGGTTCTGCACATGCTCAGTGAGTCTCTGGTGGTTCTGCACATGCTCAGTGAGTCTCTGGTGGTTCTGCACATGCTCAGTGAGTCTCTGGTGGTTCTGCACATGCTCAGTGAGTCTCTGGTGGTTCTGCACATCCTCAGTGAGTCTCTGGTGGTTCTGCACATCCTCAGTGAGTCTCTGGTGGTTCTGCACATCCTCAGTGAGTCTCTGGTGGTTCTGCACATGCTCAGTGAGTCTCTGGTGGTTCTGCACATGCTCAGTGAGTCTCTGGTGGTTCTGCACATGCTCAGTGAGTCTCTGGTGGTTCTGCACATGCTCAGTGAGTCTCTGGTGGTTCTGCACATGCCTCAGTGAGTCTACTGGTGGTTCTGCACATGCTCAGTGAGTCTCTGGTGGTTCTGCACATGCTCAGTGAGTCTCTGGTGGTTCTGCACATGCTCAGTGAAGTCATCTGGTGGTTCTGCACATGCTCAGTGAAGTCACTGGTGGTTCTGCACATGCTCAGTGAGTCACTGGTGGTTCTGCACATGCTCAGTGAGTCTCTGGTGGTTCTGCACATGCTCAGTGAGTCTCTGGTGGTTCTGCACATGCTCAGTGAGTCTCTGGTGGTTCTGCACATGCTCAGTGAGTTCTCTGGGTGGTTCTGCACATGCTCAGTGAGTCTCTGGTGGTTCTGCACATGCTCAGTGAGTCTCTGGTGGTTCTGCACATGCCCTCAGTGAGTCTCTGGTGGTTTGCACATGCTCAGTGAGTCTCTGGTGGTTCTGCACATGCTCAGTGAGTCTCTGGTGGTTCTGCACATCCTCAGTGAGTCTCTGGTGGTTCTGCACATGCTCAGTGAGTCTCTTGGTGGTTCTGCACATCCTCAGTGAGTCTCTGGTGGTTCTGCACATCTCAGTGAGTCTCTGGTGGTTCTGCCACATGCTCAGTGAGTCTCTGGTGGTTCGACACATTGCTCAGTGAGTCACTGGTGGTTCTTGCACATGCTCAGTGAGTCTCTGGTGGTTCTGCACTTCCTCAGTGAGTCTCTGGTGGTTCTGCACATTCTCAGTGAGTCTCTGGTGGTTCTGCACATGCCTCAGTGAGGTCTCTGGTGGTTCTGCACATCCTCAGTGAGTCTCTGTGGTTCTGCACATGCTCAGTGAGTCTCTGGTGGTTCTGCACATGCCTCAGTGAGTCTCTGGTGGTTCTGCACATGCTCAGTGAGTCCTGGTGGTTCTGCACATCCTCAGTGAGTCTCTGGTGGTTCTGCACATGCCTCAGTGGTCTCTGGTGGTTCTGCACATCCTCAGTGAGTCTCTGGTGGTTCTGCACATGCTCAGTGAGTCTCTGGTGGTTCTGCACATGCTCAGTGAGCTCTGGTGGTTCTGCACATGCTCAGTGAGTCTCTGGTGGTTCTGCACATGCTCAGTGAGTCCTCTGGTGGTTCTGCACATGCTCAGTGAGTCTCTGGTGGTTCTGCACATGCTCAGTGAGTCTCTGGTGGTTCTGCACATGCTCAGTGAGTCTCTGGTGGTTCTGCACATGCTCAGTGAGTCTCTGGTGGTTCTGCACTATGCCTCAGTGAGTCTCTGGTGGTTCTGCACATGCTCAGTGAGTCTCTGGTGGTTCTGCACATGCTCAGTGAGTCTCTGGTGGTTCTGCACATGCTCAGTGAGTCTCTGGTGGTTCTGCACATGCTCAGTGAGTCTCTGGTGGTTCTGCAACATGCTCAGTGAGTCTCTGGTGGTTCTGCACATGCTCAGTGAGTCTCTGGTGGTTCTGCACATGCCTCAGTGAGTCTCTGGTGGTTCTGCAACATGCTCAGTGAGTCTCTGGTGGTTCTGCACATCCTCAGTGGTCTCTGGTGGTTCTTGCAATCAGTGAGTCTCTGGTGGTTCTGCACATGCTCAGTGAGATCACTGGTGGTTCTGCACATGCTCAGTGAGTCTCTGGTGGTTCTGCACATGCTCAGATGAGTCTCTGGTGGTTCTGCACATGTCTCAGTGAGTCTCTGGTGGTTCTGCACATGCTCAGTGAGTCTCTGGTGGTTCTTGCACATCCTCAGTGAGTCTCTGTGGTTCTGCACATGCTCAGTGGTCACTGGTCTGCACATTGCTCAGGAGTTCTCTGGTGGTTCTGCACATGCTCAGTGAGTCTCTGGTGGTTCTGCACATGCTCAGTGAATCACTGGTGGTTCTGCACATGCTCAGTGAGTCTCTGGTGGTTCTGCACATCCTCAGTGAGTCTCTGGTGGTTCTGCACATTCTCAGTGAGTCTCTGGTGGTTCTGCACATGCTCAGTGAGTCTCTGGTGGTTCTGCACATCCTCAGTGAGTCTCTGGTGGTTCTGCACATGCTCAGTGAGTCTCTGGTGGTTCTGCACATGCTCAGTGAGTCTCTGGTGGTTCTGCACATGCTCAGTGAGTCACTGGTGGTTCTGCACATGCTCAGTGAGTCTCTGGTGGTTCTGCACATCCTCAGTGAGTCTCTGGTGGTTCTGCACATGCTCAGTGAGTCTCTGGTGGTTCTGCACATCCTCAGTGAGTCTCTGGTGGTTCTGCACATGCTCAGTGAGTCTCTGGTGGTTCTGCACATCCTCAGTGAGTCTCTGGTGGTTCTGCACATGCTCAGTGAGTCACTGGTGGTTCTGCACATCCTCAGTGAGTCTCTGGTGGTTCTGCACATGCTCAGTGAGTCTCTGGTGGTTCTGCACATCCTCAGTGAGTTTCTGGTGGTTCTGCACATCCTCAGTGAGTCTCTGGTGGTTCTGCACATCCTCAGTGAGTTTCTGGTGGTTCTGCACATCCTCAGTGAGTCTCTGGTGGTTCTGCACATCCTCAGTGAGTTTCTGGTGGTTCTGCACATCCTCAGTGAGTTTCTGGTGGTTCTGCACATCCTCAGTGAGTTTCTGGTGGTTCTGCACATCCTCAGTGAGTTTCTGGTGGTTCTGCACATCCTCAGTGAGTTTCTGGTGGTTCTGCACATGCTCAGTGAGTTTCTGGTGGTTCTGCACATCCTCAGTGAGTCTCTGGTGGTTCTGCACATCCTCAGTGAGTTTCTGGTGGTTCTGCACATCCTCAGTGAGTCTCTGGTGGTTCTGCACATCCTCAGTGAGTTTCTGGTGGTTCTGCACATCCTCAGTGAGTCTCTGGTGGTTCTGCACATCCTCAGTGAGTTTCTGGTGGTTCTGCACATCCTCAGTGAGTCTCTGGTGGTTCTGCACATCCTCAGTGAGTTTCTGGTGGTTCTGCACTTCCTCAGTGAGTTTCTGGTGGTTCTGCACATCCTCAGTGAGTTTCTGGTGGTTCTGCACATCCTCAGTGAGTTTCTGGTGGTTCTGCACATCCTCAGTGAGTCTCTGGTGGTTCTGCACATCCTCAGTAGGCATCTCTTCTTCTTCTTACAGCTTTGTGCATTTGTGGACAAATTGACGGCTCAGAACCGTCAGCTGGAGGACGAGCTGCAGGATCTGTCGTCCAAGAAGGAGAGCGTGAACCACTGGGAGGCGCAGATCGCTGAGATCATCCAGTGGTGAGGGAGGGTCAGCGCTCTATAAATAAAATGTATAATTATTTGTATTATTAACATGTGTCTGTGTTCAGGGTGAGCGATGAGAAGGATGCTCGAGGCTACCTTCAGGCTCTGGCCACCAAGATGACGGAGGAGTTGGAAACTCTGAGGAGCTCCGGTGTGGGAACAAGACCTCTGGTAACACACTCACACACACATTCACAAACACTCATATACACAAACACTCATATACACAAACACTCATATACACAAACACTCATATACACAAACACTCATATACACAAACACTCATATACACAAACACTCATATACACAAACACTCATATACACAAACACTCATATACACAAACACTCATATACACAAACACTCATATCAGAGATGTTCACAAGTCTTTTTTTGCAAGTCCAAGTCAAGTCTCAAGTCTTTGTGGGGTGAGACTTGATCAAGTCTCAAGTCTTTGGTCACGAGTCCAAGTCAAGTCTCAAGTCTCTAAAACATAAAAGTCTCATGTCTCTTCTGGTTGTAATAAGCCTTCTATTGTCTGCTGCTATCCAGTCTGTTAAGAATACTGCACAGCTATATCTAAGACATTCAAAGCATTGACTGTATTATTATCACTCCTATATCTATTAGCATACAGTATCAGTACTGATTAGTTGTTATATGATCACTTTAAACAGGCTATTGCAATATGAGGACAAACATCACAATTTAGCTAAATGCAAACAACTTATAAGCAAAACACTTCAGAATCAGAAATACTTTATTAATCCCCCGCAGGGAAGCTGTGTTAAAAGTACTTCAAAGTAAACATTTGTTCTGTGCCATTTGCAACTAAAAAACTATTGCTGCAATATTATCTGAAATATACTGAAGTGGTGATATTAAAACATGACCTGTTCCAAAAGAGATATCTACCATTAACACCATTTACCAGCCAGATGCTGGTAAATCATGCAAGTGGCTGGTTCTGTATGTTGCACGCACCAGCCACAAATAACAATGGCAATCTATTGAGTGGCTGGTAACATTTCAACATGAGGCTAGGCTAGCCATTTGGCCAGTTTGACCTCTGCAACCGTATTGTTGAATTACACTGGGTCTCTAATGACATCTTTTAAGTCTACTATAAATAAACATATTCCTCTATCCTCTCACTCAAACCCAGTGTAATGGTAACCTGATAAACCTGTAACATTAACGTTACGTGGTCAACAATAAACCTGTAACCTGCCTATAAACCGACAGAAGTATTTATGTATGTAACTATGTATTTTTCTACGTTTAACGTTAGCCAGTAGATGGTGGCAGCGGAACGTAATGATTAACGTTACCGACCTTTTTTATGTCATGTGAAGAGTTGGATGTCAACGCCACTCAACGCAAACAAGTGTGACAAGCAAACATTCACTCATCTTTTCAAATATTCAGTTACAAAGCTAGTAGCAAGCTAAGTTAACATTACATAGCTGATGCTAAGCTAAACATGTTTGCTAACCGTCCATATGCGTTAATGTGACTGACCTCTCCGGGTGAATTTTCAAGTGCCTGATGACATTTGACGTTGTTGCACCAGCATCCTTGATTTTAATATTGCAGACTTTGCAGTGTGCGCTCCTTTTGTTGGTGCCGCCAGCGTTTTGTTCGAAGTTTTTATAGTTGAACCTAATTACAAGCGGTACAGCTGCAGGTGTGCCGCCGGTCGCCATGGTGTTACCATGATGTTAATGTTAAAGGTGGGGTAGGTACGTTTGAGAAACCGGCTCGAGATACACTTTTTGTTATATTCCATGGAATGCTCTTAACATCCCGATAGCCGGCCCGACTAAAGTAACTGGATGGCCTACCTGCCTGTCAGCCTCTCATCGGGGCACAAACTTATCTCGTGCCCTCATTGGTCATGTGCGCGTTCGTGTGTGTTGGAGGAGGGGCTCTGTGAGGAAGTGGCAGATTTTCTCCGGTTGTGTATTTTCAAATTCTAGCGATCTCGAGCCGGTTTCTCAAACTTACCTACCCCACCTTTAATACGCCAAAAATAGAAAACACAATGATTGTTCACGAGTCCCAAAACACGAGTCCAAGTCGAGTCCGAAGTCTTTTGAGCAGGAGTCCAAGTCAAGTCTGAAGTCTCTGTGTGTGCGACTTAAGTGCGACTCGAGTCCGAGTCACAGACTCGAGTCCCCATCTCTGACTCATATACACAAACACTCACACACACATTCACAAACACTCATATACACAAACACTCACACACACATTCACAAACACTCATATACACAAACACACTCTCTTAAATAGAAAGAGGAACTGATTCATTACGGTGAATCAGTTATTTTGTCAGTGTGTGTGTGTGTGTGTGTGTGTGTGTGTGTCTGTAGTGTGTGTGTTGATATATCTTTTAATCTGCCATCTCAGCCTGAGTCAGGAGTGGACACACCTCCTAAGAAGCCCTGGCCTCCTATTGGTGGAGACAGGAGGGTGAGTGTGTCGGTCACTGCTTCCAGCCCATCAGGATTTACACTCAAAGAAGCTTGCATGGCTATTGGCTTGCATGTTTGTCCCTCATGATCAAAAAACATGGGTTGAAGGATCTCTCAAGGTCTAAAGTTACTTTTAGTTTATGTCAGTGATTACCAGGGTCCTTCTAAGGTCCTTTAGTAACTCTTAGGGTGCGTCGGTAACTCTCAGGGTCCTTCTAAGGTCCTTCAGTAACTCTTAGGGTGCGTCGGTAACTCTCAGGGTCCTTCTAAGATCCTTCAGTAACTCTCAGGGTCTTTCTAAGGTCCTTCAGTAACTCTCAGGGTCCTTCTAAGGTCCTTCAGTAACTCTCAGGGTCTTTCTAAGGTCCTTCAGTAACTCTCAGGGTCCTTATAAGGTCCTTCAGTAACTCTCAGGGTCCTTCTAAGATCCTTCAGTAACTCTCAGGGTCCTTATAAGGTCCTTCAGTAACTCTCAGGGTCCTTCTAAGGTCATTCAGTAACTCTCAGGGTCCTTCTAAGGTCCTTCAGTAACTCTCAGGGTCTTTCTAAGGTCCTTCAGTAACTCTCAGGGTCCTTCTAAGATCCTTCAGGAACTCTCAGGGTCCTTCTAAGGTCATTCAGTAACTCTCAGGGTCTTTCTAAGGTCCTTCAGTAACTCTCAGGGTCCTTATAAGGTCCTTCAGTATCTCTCAGGGTCCTTCTAAGGTCCTTCAGTAACTCTCAGGGTCTTTCTAAGGTCCTTCAGTAAATCTCAGGGTCCTTCTAAGGTCATTCAGTAACTCTCAGGGTCTTTCTAAGGTCCTTCAGTAACTCTCAGGGTCCTTATAAGGTCCTTCAGTAACTCTCAGGGTCCTTATACGGTCCTTCAGTAACTCTCAGGGTCCTTCTAAGGTCCTTTAGTAACTCTCAGGGTCCTTCCAAGGTCCTTCAGTAACTCTCAGGGTCCTTCTAAGCTCCTTTAGTAACTCTCAGGGTCCTTCTAAGGTCCTTAAGTAACTCTCAGGGTCCTTCTAAGGTCCTTTAGTAACTCTCAGGATCCTTCTAAGGTCCTTCAGTAACTCTCAGGGTCCTTATAAGGTCCTTCAGTAACTCTCAGGGTCTTTCTAAGGTTCATTAGTAACTCTCAGGGTCCTTCTAAGGTCCTTCAGTAACTCTTAGGGTGCGTCGGTAACTCTCAGGGTCCTTCAGTAACTCTCAAGGTCTTTCTAAGGTCCTTCAGTAACTCTCAGGGTCCTTCTAAGGTCCTTCAGTAACTCTCAGGGTCTTTCTAAGGTCCTTCAGTAACTCTCAGGGTCCTTATAAGGTCCTTCAGTAACTCTCAGGGTCCTTATAAGGTCCTTCAGTAACTCTCAGGGTCCTTCTAAGGTCCTTCAGTAACTCTCAGGGTCCTTATAAGGTCCTTCAGTAACTCTCAGGGTCCTTCTAAGGTCATTCAGTAACTCTCAGGGTCCTTCTAAGGTCATTCAGTAACTCTCAGGGTCCTTCTAAGGTCATTCAGTAACTCTCAGGGTCTTTCTAAGGTCCTTCAGTAACTCTCAGGGTCCTTATAAGGTCCTTCAGTAACTCTCAGGGTCCTTCAGTAACTCTCAGGGTCCTTCTAAGGTCCTTCAGTAACTCTCAGGGTCTTTCTAAGGTCCTTCAGTAAATCTCAGGGTCCTTCTAAGGTCATTCAGTAACTCTCAGGGTCTTTCTAAGGTCCTTCAGTAACTCTCAGGGTCCTTATAAGGTCCTTCAGTAACTCTCAGGGTCTTTATACGGTCCTTCAGTAACTCTCAGGGTCCTTCTAAGGTCCTTTAGTAACTCTCAGGGTCTTTCTAAGGTCCTTCAGTAACTCTCAGGGTCCTTATAAGGTCCTTCAGTAACTCTCAGGGTCCTTATACGGTCCTTCAGTAACTCTCAGGGTCCTTCTAAGGTCCTTAAGTAACTCTCAGGGTCCTTCTAAGGTCCTTTAGTAACTCTCAGGGTCCTTCTAAGGTCCTTTAGTAACTCTCAGGGTCCTTCTAAGGTCCTTTAGTAACTCTCAGGGTCTTTCTAAGGTTCATTTGGTAACTCTCAGGGTCCTTCTAAGGTCCTTCAGTAACTCTCAGAGTCCTTCTAAGCTCCTTTAGTAACTCTCAGGGTCCTTCCAAGGTCCTTTAGTAACTCTCAGGGTCCTTCTAAACTCCTTTAGTAACTCTCAGGGTCCTTCTAAGCTCCTTTAGTAACTCTCAGGGTCCTTATAAGGTCCTTCAGTAACTCTCAGGGTCCTTCCAAGGTCCTTCAGTAACTCTCAGGGTCCTTCTAAGGTCCTTTAGTAACTCTCAGGGTCCTTCTAAGCTCCTTTAGTAACTCTCAGGGTCCTTCTAAGGTCCTTCAGTAACTCTCAGGGTCCTTCTAAGGTCCTTTAGTAACTCTCAGGGTCCTTCTAAGGTCCTTCAGTAACTCTCAGGTTCTTCAGGTATAATATGGTATCGTGTTGATGTTTTGCGTGTGTCATGGCTACATGCTTGCTGTCTGAAAGCAGCTGATTGGTGCTGTTGTTGCCGTGGTTACTGGCTGTCTGAATGACCTGCCCCTCCCCCCCAGGACCCCCTATGGAAGGTGCGTCGCAGCCAAAAGCTGGACATGTCGGCTCGGCTGGAGCTGCAGTCGGCTCTGGAGGCTGAGATCAAAGCCAAGCAGCTCGTCCAGGAGGAACTGAGACGAGTGAAGGCTAACAACATCAGCCTGGAGAGGTAAACACACACACAGACACCGACACACACACACAGTAGACTAGTCGACTACCTTTACCACTAGTCTGCGCTGTAGGCCCTAGTCAACTAGTCATGAACAAAATGGAGGCAAATGTGGGAGATGAGGAGGCCGACCTTGGCGCTGAGGTGCTGCAAAATGCTCCTGGCTATTCCAGCTGCTACCTGGCTATTCCAGCCGCTACCTGGCTATTCCAGCCGCTACCTGGCTATTCCAGCCGCTACCTGGCTATTCCAGCCGCTACCTGGCCATTCCAGCCGCTACCTGGCTATTCCAGCCATTCCAGCCGCTACCTGGCCATTCCAACCGCTACCTGGCTATTCCAGCCATTCCAGCCGCTACCTGGCCATTCCAGCCGCTACCTGGCTATTCCAGCCGCTACCTGGCCGGCTATTCCAGCCGCTACCTGGCCGGCTATTCCAGCCGCTACCTGGCCGGCTATTCCAGCCGCTACCTGGCCGGCTATTCCAGCCGCTACCTGGCTATTCCAGCCGCTACCTGGCTATTCCAGCCGCTACTACCTGGCTATTCCAGCCGCTACCTGGCTATTACAGCCGCTACCTGGCTATTTCAGCCGCTACCTGGCTATTTCAGCTGCTACCTGGCTATTCCAGCTGCTACCTGGCTATTCCAGCCACCAGCACCCCAATTGAACAGATGTTTTCCCCTGGCAGGCAACACTGTCACCCGACAGCGGTCAAGCCTCCTTCCCTCACATGTTGATGCTTGGTCTTCGTTAATGCAAACCAAAAAACCTGGAAGGGTGGACATCGTTATCAAGGAGGACAGTGACAAGGTTCAAGGTTCAAGGTTCTTTATTTTGTCATACGAACATAGCTACAGAGTAGTTATGCCGATGAAAATCTTAGGCCACAGGCTTCTCCAACAGAGCAACACAATAACACAGATAAACAGAAAAATATAGTGCAAGTAAATAGTAGATAGTAAACACAAAAAGAAAAATTGTTTAAAAAAGTGAAATAAGAGTCTATATGCAAGTTATTGGAATTATATATTAGAGAAATAGATAAATAATGACTAAGTAGCAGATGAATGTTATGGATGTTGTTTCAGCAGTTCAGGTGTTTAACAGTCTTATCGCATGTGGGGTGAAGCTGTCTCTGAATCTGGTGGTTTTAGTCCGGATGCTGCCGTACCGCCTGCCAGACGGCAGCAGACTGAACAGTTTGTGGTTGGGGTGATGGGGGTCTTTGATAATCCGGAGGGATTTCTTCCTGAGCCGCTGGGAGCAAAGGTCCTCCATGGATGGCAGCTCCGTCCGGGTGATGTTCTGTTCAGTTTTCACCACCCTCTGTAAAGCCTTACGATTGAGGGCGGTGCAGCTGCCGTACCAGGCCGTGATGCAGCCAGTCAGGATATACAGCGAGTTAAGTGTTGCGCAATGCGCACTGGATTTACGTTGCATTTACGTTCTCAACAGAGTTTTTGCAGTAGATTTCAGTGGTGACTCCAGTTACTGTTTTTAATGTAATAAGCCATCTAACAGAATGGAACACAAATTAAAATGCTTTGTTACAGTGTTTAATGTAACTGTATGAATTGCAATACAAAATACAGTTTTACACCTTTGTCTTTATTATGACGTAACAACGAGTCGACTGCTATTTTGAAAAACTTGTCAACTAGTAAATATTGGTAGTTGTGAAACCCCTAACACACATACAGACACAGTATCAACTGTCTTGTGTGTCTGTCTGCAGTAAAGTGAAGGAGTCTGAAGAGAGGAGTCTGGAGATGGTGGAGCAGATAGAGAGTCTGAAGAGAGAGGTGTCTCGTTCTGACAAAGGTGAGACAAGTCCATCTGTTCCCTCAGGTCCACCTCTTCCCTCAGGTCCACCTATTCCCTCAGGTCCACCTGTTCCCTCAGGTCCACCTATTCCCTCAGGTCCACCTCTTCCCTCAGGTTCACCTGTTCCCTCAGGTCCACCTATTCCCTCAGAGCCACCTGTTCCCTCAGAGCCACCTATTCCCTCAGGTCCACCTCTTCCCTCAGGTCCACTTGTTCCCTCAGGTCCACTTGTTCCCTCAGAGCCACCTGTTCCCTCAGAGCCACCTGTTCCCTCAGGTCCACTTGTTCCCTCAGAGCCACCTGTTCCCTCAGAGCCACCTGTTCCCTCAGGTCCACTTGTTCCCTCAGAGCCACCTGTTCCCTCAGAGCCACCTGTTCCCTCAGAGCCACCTGTTCCCTCAGAGCCACCTGTTCCCTCAGGTCCACCTGTTCCCTCAGGTCCACTTGTTCCCTCAGGTCCACTTGTTCCCTCAGAGCCACCTGTTCCCTCAGAGCCACCTGTTCCCTCAGGTCCACTTGTTCCCTCAGGTCCACCTGTTCCCTCAGGTCCACCTGTTCCCTCAGGTCCACTTGTTCCCTCAGGTCCACCTATTCCCTCAGGTCCACCTGTTCCCTCAGGTCCACCTGTTCCCTCAGGTCCACTTGTTCCCTCAGGTCCACCTGTTCCCTCAGGTCCACCTTTTCCCTCAGGTCCACCTGTTCCCTCAGGTCCACCTTTTCCCTCAGGTCCACCTGTTCCCTCAGAGCCACCTGTTCCCTCAGGTCCACCTGTTCCCTCAGGTCCACCTGTTCCCTCAGGTCCACTTGTTCCCTCAGGTCCACCTGTTCCCTCAGGTCCACCTGTTCCCTCAGGTCCACCTGTTCCCTCAGGTCCACCTTTTCCCTCAGGTCCACCTGTTCCCTCAGAGCCACCTGTTCCCTCAGGTCCACCTGTTCCCTCAGGTCCACCTGTTCCCTCAGGTCCACCTCTTCCCTCAGGTCCACCTATTCCCTCAGGTCCACCTGTTCCCTCAGGTCCACCTATTCCCTCAGGTCCACCTCTTCCCTCAGGTTCACCTGTTCCCTCAGGTCCACCTATTCCCTCAGAGCCACCTGTTCCCTCAGAGCCACCTATTCCCTCAGGTCCACCTCTTCCCTCAGGTCCACCTGTTCCCTCAGGTCCACCTCTTCCCTCAGAGCCACCTATTCCCTCAGGTCCACCTCTTCCCTCAGGTCCACCTGTTCCCTCAGAGCCACCTATTCCCTCAGAGCCACCTGTTCCCTCAGAGCCACCTATTCCCTCAGAGCCACCTCTTCCCTCAGAGCCACCTGTTCCCTCAGGTCCACCTGTTCCCTCAGATCCACCTATTCCCTCAGGTCCACCTGTTCCCTCAGAGCCACCTGTTCCCTCAGAGCCACCTATTCCCTCAGGTCCGCCTGTTCCCTCAGGTCCACCTGTTCCCTCAGGTCCACCTGTTCCCTCAGGTTCACCTGTTCCCTCAGGTTCACCTCTTCACTCAGAGCCACCTCTTCCCTCAGGTCCACCTGTTCCATCAGGTCCACCTCTTCCCTCAGAGCCACCTGTTCCCTCAGAGCCACCTGTTCCCTCAGAGCCACCTGTTCCCTCAGGTCCACCTGTTCCATCAGGTCCACCTGTTCCATCAGGTCCACCTCTTCCCTCAGGTCCACCTGTTCCCTCAGGTCCACCTCTTCCCTCAGGTCCACCTGTTCCCTCAGGTCCACCTGTTCCCTCAGGTCCACCTCTTCCCTCAGAGCCACCTGTTCCCTCAGAGCCACCTGTTCCCTCAGGTCCACCTGTTCCCTCAGGTCCACCTCTTCCCTCAGAGCCACCTATTCCCTCAGAGCCACCTGTTCCCTCAGGTCCACTTGTTCCCTCAGGTCCACCTGTTCCCTCAAGTTCACCTGTTCCCTCAGAGCCACCTGTTCCCTCAAGTTCACCTATTCCCTCAGGTCCACCTGTTCCCTCAAGTTCACCTATTCCCTCAGGTCCACCTCTTCCCTCAGAGCCACCTGTTCCCTCAGAGCCACCTCTTCCCTCAGAGCCACCTGTTCCCTCAGGTCCACCTTTTCCCTCAGGTCCACTTGTTCCCGCAGAGCCACCTGTTCCCTCAGAGCCACCTGTTCCCTCAGGTCCACTTGTTCCCTCAGGTCCACCTGTTCCCTCAGGTCCACCTTTTCCCTCAGGTCCACCTGTTCCCTCAGAGCCACCTGTTCCCTCAGGTCCACCTGTTCCCTCAGGTCCACCTGTTCCCTCAGGTCCACTTGTTCCCTCAGGTCCACTTGTTCCCTCAGGTCCACCTGTTCCCTCAGGTCCACCTGTTCCCTCAGGTCCACCTGTTCCCTCAGAGCCACCTGTTCCCTCAGGTCCACCTGTTCCCTCAGGTCCACCTCTTCACTCAGAGCCACCTCTTCCCTCAAGTTCACCTGTTCCCTCAGGTCCACCTCTTCCCTCAGAGCCACCTGTTCCCTCAGAGCCACCTGTTCCCTCAGAGCCACCTGTTCCCTCAGAGCCACCTGTTCCCTCAGGTCCACCTGTTCCATCAGGTCCACCTCTTCCCTCAGGTCCACCTGTTCCCTCAGGTCCACCTCTTCCCTCAGGTCCACCTGTTCCCTCAGGTCCACCTGTTCCCTCAGGTCCACCTCTTCCCTCAGAGCCACCTGTTCCCTCAGAGCCACCTGTTCCCTCAGGTCCACCTGTTCCCTCAGGTCCACCTCTTCCCTCAGAGCCACCTATTCCCTCAGAGCCACCTATTCCCTCAGAGCCACCTGTTCCCTCAGAGCCACCTATTCCCTCAGAGCCACCTATTCCCTCAGGTCCGCCTGTTCCCTCAGGTCCACCTGTTCCCTCAGGTCCACCTGTTCCCTCAGGTCCACCTGTTCCCTCAGGTCCACTTGTTCCCTCAGGTCCACCTGTTCCCTCAAGTTCACCTGTTCCCTCAGAGCCACCTGTTCCCTCAAGTTCACCTATTCCCTCAGGTCCACCTGTTCCCTCAAGTTCACCTATTCCCTCAGGTCCACCTCTTCCCTCAGAGCCACCTGTTCCCTCAGAGCCACCTCTTCCCTCAGAGCCACCTGTTCCCTCAGGTCCACCTTTTCCCTCAGGTCCACTTGTTCCCGCAGAGCCACCTGTTCCCTCAGAGCCACCTGTTCCCTCAGGTCCACTTGTTCCCTCAGGTCCACCTGTTCCCTCAGGTCCACCTGTTCCCTCAGGTCCACCTTTTCCCTCAGGTCCACCTGTTCCCTCAGAGCCACCTGTTCCCTCAGGTCCACCTGTTCCCTCAGGTCCACCTGTTCCCTCAGGTCCACTTGTTCCCTCAGGTCCACTTGTTCCCTCAGGTCCACCTGTTCCCTCAGGTCCACCTGTTCCCTCAGGTCCACCTGTTCCCTCAGAGCCACCTGTTCCCTCAGGTCCACCTGTTCCCTCAGGTCCACCTGTTCCCTCAGGTCCACCTGTTCCCTCAGGTCCACCTCTTCCCTCAGGTCCACCTATTCCCTCAGGTCCACCTGTTCCCTCAGGTCCACCTATTCCCTCAGGTCCACCTCTTCCCTCAGGTTCACCTGTTCCCTCAGGTCCACCTATTCCCTCAGAGCCACCTGTTCCCTCAGAGCCACCTATTCCCTCAGGTCCACCTCTTCCCTCAGGTCCACCTGTTCCCTCAGGTCCACCTCTTCCCTCAGAGCCACCTGTTCCCTCAGAGCCACCTATTCCCTCAGAGCCACCTGTTCCCTCAGAGCCACCTATTCCCTCAGAGCCACCTCTTCCCTCAGAGCCACCTGTTCCCTCAGGTCCACCTGTTCCCTCAGAGCCACCTGTTCCCTCAGAGCCACCTATTCCCTCAGGTCCGCCTGTTCCCTCAGGTCCACCTGTTCCCTCAGGTCCACCTGTTCCCTCAGGTTCACCTGTTCCCTCAGGTCCACTTGTTCCCTCAGGTCCACCTGTTCCCTAAGGTCCACCTATTCCCTCAGAGCCACCTATTCCCTCAGGTCCACCTGTTCCCTCAGAGCCACCTGTTCCCTCAGAGCCACCTGTTCCCTCAGAGCCACCTGTTCCCTCAGAGCCACCTGTTCCCTCAGAGCCACCTGTTCCCTCAGAGCCACCTGTTCCCTCAGAGCCACCTGTTCCCTCAGAGCCACCTGTTCCCTCAGGTCCACCTGTTCCCTCAACTTCACCTATTCCCTCAGGTCCACCTCTTCCCTCAGGTCCACTTGTTCCCTCAGGTCCACTTGTTCCCTCAGAGCCACCTGTTCCCTCAGAGCCACCTGTTCCCTCAGGTCCACTTGTTCCCTCAGAGCCACCTGTTCCCTCAGAGCCACCTGTTCCCTCAGGTCCACTTGTTCCCTCAGAGCCACCTGTTCCCTCAGAGCCACCTGTTCCCTCAGAGCCACCTGTTCCCTCAGAGCCACCTGTTCCCTCAGGTCCACCTGTTCCCTCAGGTCCACTTGTTCCCTCAGGTCCACTTGTTCCCTCAGAGCCACCTGTTCCCTCAGAGCCACCTGTTCCCTCAGGTCCACTTGTTCCCTCAGGTCCACCTGTTCCCTCAGGTCCACCTGTTCCCTCAGGTCCACTTGTTCCCTCAGGTCCACCTGTTCCCTCAGGTCCACCTGTTCCCTCAGGTCCACCTGTTCCCTCAGGTCCACTTGTTCCCTCAGGTCCACCTGTTCCCTCAGGTCCACCTTTTCCCTCAGGTCCACCTGTTCCCTCAGGTCCACCTTTTCCCTCAGGTCCACCTGTTCCCTCAGGTCCACCTGTTCCCTCAGGTCCACCTGTTCCCTCAGGTCCACCTGTTCCCTCAGGTCCACTTGTTCCCTCAGGTCCACTTGTTCCCTCAGGTCCACCTGTTCCCTCAGGTCCACCTGTTCCCTCAGGTCCACCTTTTCCCTCAGGTCCACCTGTTCCCTCAGAGCCACCTGTTCCCTCAGGTCCACCTGTTCCCTCAGGTCCACCTGTTCCCTCAGGTCCACCTCTTCCCTCAGGTCCACCTATTCCCTCAGGTCCACCTGTTCCCTCAGGTCCACCTATTCCCTCAGGTCCACCTCTTCCCTCAGGTTCACCTGTTCCCTCAGGTCCACCTGTTCCCTCAGAGCCACCTGTTCCCTCAGAGCCACCTATTCCCTCAGGTCCACCTCTTCCCTCAGGTCCACCTGTTCCCTCAGGTCCACCTCTTCCCTCAGAGCCACCTATTCCCTCAGGTCCACCTCTTCCCTCAGGTCCACCTGTTCCCTCAGAGCCACCTATTCCCTCAGAGCCACCTGTTCCCTCAGAGCCACCTATTCCCTCAGAGCCACCTCTTCCCTCAGAGCCACCTGTTCCCTCAGGTCCACCTGTTCCCTCAGATCCACCTATTCCCTCAGGTCCACCTGTTCCCTCAGAGCCACCTGTTCCCTCAGAGCCACCTATTCCCTCAGGTCCGCCTGTTCCCTCAGGTCCACCTGTTCCCTCAGGTCCACCTGTTCCCTCAGGTTCACCTGTTCCCTCAGGTCCACTTGTTCCCTCAGGTCCACCTGTTCCCTCAGGTCCACCTATTCCCTCAGAGCCACCTATTCCCTCAGGTCCACCTGTTCCCTCAGAGCCACCTGTTCCCTCAGAGCCACCTGTTCCCTCAGAGCCACCTGTTCCCTCAGAGCCACCTGTTCCCTCAGAGCCACCTGTTCCCTCAGAGCCACCTGTTCCCTCAGGTCCACCTGTTCCCTCAGGTCCACCTGTTCCCTCAACTTCACCTATTCCCTCAGGTCCACCTCTTCCCTCAGGTCCACTTGTTCCCTCAGGTCCACTTGTTCCCTCAGAGCCACCTGTTCCCTCAGGTCCACTTGTTCCCTCAGAGCCACCTGTTCCCTCAGAGCCACCTGTTCCCTCAGAGCCACCTGTTCCCTCAGGTCCACTTGTTCCCTCAGAGCCACTTGTTCCCTCAGAGCCACCTGTTCCCTCAGAGCCACCTGTTCCCTCAGAGCCACCTGTTCCCTCAGGTCCACCTGTTCCCTCAGGTCCACTTGTTCCCTCAGGTCCACTTGTTCCCTCAGAGCCACCTGTTCCCTCAGGTCCACTTGTTCCCTCAGGTCCACTTGTTCCCTCAGGTCCACCTGTTCCCTCAGGTCCACCTGTTCCCTCAGGTCCACTTGTTCCCTCAGGTCCACTTGTTCCCTCAGGTCCACCTATTCCCTCAGGTCCACCTGTTCCCTCAGGTCCACCTGTTCCCTCAGGTCCACCTGTTCCCTCAGGTCCACTTGTTCCCTCAGGTCCACCTGTTCCCTCAGGTCCACCTGTTCCCTCAGGTCCACTTGTTCCCTCAGGTCCACTTGTTCCCTCAGGTCCACCTGTTCCCTCAGGTCCACCTATTCCCTCAGGTCCACCTGTTCCCTCAGGTCCACCTATTCCCTCAGGTCCACCTCTTCCCTCAGAGCCACCTGTTACCTCAGGTCCACTTGTTCCCTCAGGTCCACTTGTTCCCTCAGGTCCACTTGTTCCCTCAGGTCCACCTGTTCCCTCAGGTCCACCTATTCCCTCAGGTCCACCTGTTCCCTCAGGTCCACCTATTCCCTCAGGTCCACCTGTTCCCTCAGGTCCACCTATTCCCTCAGGTCCACCTGTTCCCTCAGAGCCACCTGTTCCCTCAGAGCCACCTGTTCCCTCAGGTCCACCTTTTCCCTCAGGTCCACCTGTTCCCTCAGGTCCACCTGTTCCCTCAGGTCCACCTCTTCCCTCAGGTCCACCTATTCCCTCAGGTCCACCTGTTCCCTCAGGTCCACCTATTCCCTCAGGTCCACCTCTTCCCTCAGGTTCACCTGTTCCCTCAGGTCCACCTATTCCCTCAGAGCCACCTGTTCCCTCAGAGCCACCTATTCCCTCAGGTCCACCTCTTCCCTCAGGTCCACCTGTTCCCTCAGGTCCACCTCTTCCCTCAGAGCCACCTGTTCCCTCAGAGCCACCTATTCCCTCAGAGCCACCTGTTCCCTCAGAGCCACCTATTCCCTCAGAGCCACCTCTTCCCTCAGAGCCACCTGTTCCCTCAGGTCCACCTGTTCCCTCAGATCCACCTATTCCCTCAGGTCCACCTGTTCCCTCAGAGCCACCTGTTCCCTCAGAGCCACCTATTCCCTCAGGTCCGCCTGTTCCCTCAGGTCCACCTGTTCCCTCAGGTCCACCTGTTCCCTCAGGTTCACCTGTTCCCTCAGGTCCACTTGTTCCCTCAGGTCCACCTGTTCCCTCAGGTCCACCTATTCCCTCAGAGCCACCTATTCCCTCAGGTCCACCTGTTCCCTCAGAGCCACCTGTTCCCTCAGAGCCACCTGTTCCCTCAGAGCCACCTGTTCCCTCAGAGCCACCTGTTCCCTCAGAGCCACCTCTTCCCTCAGATCCACCTCTTCCCTCAGATCCACCTGTTCCCTCAGATCCACCTGTTCCCTCAGATCCACCTGTTCCCTCAGAGCCACCTGTTCCCTCAGGTCCACCTGTTCCCTCAGGTCCACTTGTTCCCTCAGGTCCACTTGTTCCCTCAGGTCCACTTGTTCCCTCAGGTCCACCTATTCCCTCAGGTCCACCTGTTCCCTCAGGTCCACCTGTTCCCTCAGGTCCACCTATTCCCTCAGGTCCACCTATTCCCTCAGGTCCACCTGTTCCCTCAGAGCCACCTCTTCCCTCAGAGCCACCTGTTCCCTCAGAGCCACCTGTTCCCTCAGAGCCACCTGTTCCCTCAGAGCCACCTCTTCCCTCAGAGCCACCTCTTCCCTCAGAGCCACCTGTTCCCTCAGAGCCACCTCTTCCCTCAGAGCCACCTGTTCCCTCAGAGCCACCTGTTCCCTCAGAGCCACCTCTTCCCTCAGAGCCACCTCTTCCCTCAGAGCCACCTCTTCCCTCAGAGCCACCTCTTCCCTCAGAGCCACCTCTTCCCTCAAGTTCACCTGTTCCCTCAAGTTCACCTATTCCCTCAAGTCCACCTATTCCCTCAAGTTCACCTATTCCCTCAAGTCCACCTGTTCCCTCAGGTCCACCTATTCCCTCAATTCCACCTATTCCCTCAAGTCCACCTGTTCCCTCAGAGCCACCTGTTCCCTCAGAGCCACCTCTTCCCTCAGAGCCACCTGTTCCCTCAGAGCCACCTCTTCCCTCAGAGCCACCTATTCCCTCAGAGCCACCTCTTCCCTCAGAGCCACCTATTCCCTCAGGTCCACTTGTTCCCTCAGGTCCACTTGTTCCCTCAGGTCCACTTGTTCCCTCAGGTCCACCTATTCCCTCAGGTCCACCTGTTCCCTCAGGTCCACCTATTCCCTCAGGTCCACCTATTCCCTCAGGTCCACCTGTTCCCTCAGGTCCACCTATTCCCTCAGGTCCACCTGTTCCCTCAGAGCCACCTCTTCCCTCAGAGCCACCTGTTCCCTCAGAGCCACCTCTTCCCTCAGAGCCACCTCTTCCCTCAGAGCCACCTGTTCCCTCAGAGCCACCTCTTCCCTCAGAGCCACCTGTTCCCTCAGAGCCACCTGTTCCCTCAGAGCCACCTCTTCCCTCAGAGCCACCTCTTCCCTCAGAGCCACCTCTTCCCTCAGAGCCACCTCTTCCCTCAAGTTCACCTGTTCCCTCAAGTTCACCTATTCCCTCAAGTCCACCTCTTCCCTCAGGTCCACCTATTCCCTCAATTCCACCTATTCCCTCAAGTCCACCTGTTCCCTCAGAGCCACCTGTTCCCTCAGAGCCACCTCTTCCCTCAGAGCCACCTATTCCCTCAGAGCCACCTCTTCCCTCAGGTCCACCTATTCCCTCAGAGCCACCTGTTCCCTCAGGTCCACCTATTCCCTCAAGTCCACCTCTTCCCTCAGGTCCACCTATTCCCTCAAGTCCACCTCTTCCCTCAGAGCCACCTGTTCCCTCAGAGCCACCTATTCCCTCAGAGCCACCTGTTCCCTCAGAGCCACTTGTTCCCTCAGAGCCACCTGTTCCCTCAGAGCCACCTATTCCCTCAGAGCCACCTCTTCCCTCAGAGCCACCTGTTCCCTCAGAGCCACCTCTTCCCTCAGAGCCACCTGTTCCCTCAAGTCCACCTCTTCCCTCAAGTTCACCTGTTCCCTCAAGTTCACCTATTCCCTCAAGTTCACCTATTCCCTCAGAGCCACCTGTTCCCTCAGGTCCACCTATTCCCTCAAGTCCACCTCTTCCCTCAGGTCCACCTATTCCCTCAGAGCCACCTCTTCCCTCAGGTCCACCTATTCCCTCAGAGCCACCTCTTCCCTCAGAGCCACCTGTTCCCTCAAGTTCACCTGTTCCCTCAAGTTCACCTGTTCCCTCAAGTTCACCTATTCCCTCAGAGCCACCTGTTCCCTCAGGTCCACCTATTCCCTCAAGTCCACCTCTTCCCTCAGGTCCACCTATTCCCTCAAGTCCACCTATTCCCTCAAGTCCACCTGTTCCCTCAGGTCCACCTGTTCCCTCAGGTCCACCTGTTCCCTCAGAGCCACCTGTTCCCTCAGGTCCTCAAGTCCACCTATTCCCTCAAGTCCACCTATTCCCTCAAGTCCACCTGTTCCCTCAGGTCCACCTGTTCCCTCAGGTCCACCTGTTCCCTCAAGTCCACCTATTCCCTCAGAGCCACCTGTTCCCTCAGAGCCACCTGTTCCCTCAGGTGTTCAGGTCTCTCCTTAATAACAGATAGACCCTTCTTTTTGCAGGTCTGAAGCTCCCTGACTTCCAGGACTCTATCTTTGAATATTTCAACACTTCTCCTCTGGCCCCGGACCTCACCTTCAGAGTGAGTCACCTGTCTGTCTTTCTGTCTGTCTCACCTGCTTCCTTGTGTTCTGCATCCTGTTTTTACTTGAAATATAAGTTTACATACAGTTTGATTTGACGATGAAGTCACTCAGGTGTGTATGTTGGTCAGTTAGCTCCGCCTCCTTGCTGCTGGCTCTCCTGGAAGACCTGAGTTACCCACGATCCTCTGGGGCAGCTAGCTGTCCGATGCCGTTAGCACAAGCTAACCCCTGCTGTTGTTAACGTGTCTCTTTGACCTGTAGACCGCCGACTTTGAGTCCCCCCCCCTGAAACCAGAGGCCACACCCCCATCGCCCTGCACCGAGGTCAGTCTCATTGAGTGTGTTTGTGTGTGTGTTAGTGTGTGTTTGTGTTAGTGTGTTTGTTATTGTGTGTATACCTACATGTCTAATAGACTAATATGAGCTAAAGGTTGAATATAGGCTGAAATGCTGAACAGTGAAATAGATGCTTGTTGTGATAACAGATATGTGAGATGCAATATGATCGATGTCCACAGGAAGTGAGACCGGCATCAGTCCCTGTGAGCCCCATCCCCCCCACCCAGAGCTCACTGACCACACCAAAGGTAAACAATCAACCTGGTCCGCCAGTTGATCCAAGAATCGTCAGTGGATCTTAGAATCCGTTAGTGGATCGCAGAGACGCACTGATATCGATGTACTTTGTGATCTTGGTTTTCTAAATACACTTTGATGTGTTTACAGCCCAAAGCTCACCAGTTGAGCATCAAGACCTTCTCCAGTCCAGCCCAGTGCACCCACTGCACCTCGCTGATGGTGGGACTCATCCGACAGGGAATGGCCTGTGAAGGTACACCTGAAGATCACTGCAGATAAACCTGGTCCAGACCCTCTAACTTTAGAACTGGGACCTGGATTTAGTTTGAGGGTTGACTGGTGCACAAAGGAGGGCCTACACTCTGTAGGGCTTCAGTCTTACTGAGGGACCCGGTACCTCCATTGTAACATTAAGACTTCCTGTCTCCCTCATTAAAACTTCCTGTCTCTCATTAACACTTCCTGTCTCCCTCAGTTTGTTCCTTCGTCTGCCACGCCTCCTGCAAGGACCAAGCCCCCCCCGCTCTGTCCAATCCCAGCCGAGCAGGCCAAGAGGCCGGCAGGCATCGACGTCCAGAGGGGCATCGGCACTGCCTACAGGGGCTACGTCAGGGTGAGTCATGGGGGAGGGCACTGCCTACAGGGGCTACGTCAGGGTGAGTCATGGAAGGGAGCACTGCCTACAGGGGCTACGCCAGGGAAGGGAGCACTGCCTGCAGGGGCTACGTCAGGGTGAGTCATGGAAGGGAGCACTGCCTACAGGGGCTACGCCAGGGAAGGGAGCACTGCCTACAGGGGCTACGTCAGGGTGAGTCATGGGGGAGGGCACTGCCTACAGGGGCTACGTCAGGGTGAGTCATGGAAGGGAGCACTGCCTACAGGGGCTACGTCAGGGAAGGGAGCACTGCCTACAGGGGCTACGTCAGGGTGAGTCATGGGGGAGGGCACTGCCTACAGGGGCTACGTCAGGGTGAGTCATGGAAGGGAGCACTGCCTACAGGGGCTACGTCAGGGTGAGTCATGGGGGGGCACTGCCTACAGGGGCTACGTCAGGGTAAGTCATGGGGGGGGCACTGCCTACAGGGGCTACGTCAGGGGTGAGTCATGGGGGGGGCACTGCCTACAGGGGCTACGTCAGGTTGAGTCATGGAAGGGAGCACTGCCTACAGGGACTACGTCAGGGTAAGTCATGGGGGGGGCGGCACTGCCTACAGGGGCTATGTCAGGGTGAGTCATGGGGGGGGCACTGCCTACAGGGGCTACGCCAGGGTGAGTCATGGGGGAGGGCACTGCCTACAGGGGCTACGCCAGGGTGAGTCATGGGGGGGGGGGCACTGCCTACAGGGGCTGTGCCAGGGTGAGTCATGGAAGGGAGCACTGCCTGCAGGGGCTACGTCAGGGTGAGTCATGGGGGGGCACTGCCTACAGGGGCTACGTCAGGGTGAGTCATGGGGGGGGCACTGCCTACAGGGGCTACGTCAGGGTGAGTCATGGGTGGGGCACTGCCTACGTCAGGGTGAGTCATGGAAGGGAGCACTGCCTGCAGGGGCTACGTCAGGGTGAGTCATGGGGGGGGCACTGCCTACAGGGGCTACGCCAGGGTGAGTCATGGGGGGGCACTGCCTACAGGGGCTACGTCAGGGTGAGTCGTGGGGGGGGCACTGCCTACAGGGGCTACGTCAGGGTGAGTCGTGGGGGGGGCACTGCCTACAGGGGCTACGTCAGGGTGAGTCATGGGAGGGGGCACTGCCTACAGGGGCTACGCCAGGGTGAGTCATGGGGGGGCACTGCCTACAGGGGCTACGTCAGGGTGAGTCATGGGGGAGGGCACTGCCTACAGGGGCTACGCCAGGGAGAGTCATGGGGGGGGAACTGCCTACAGGGGCTACGTCAGGGTGAGTCATGGGGGGGGAACTGCCTACAGGGGCTACGCCAGGGGGAGTCATGGGGGAGGGCACTGCCTACAGGGGCTACGCCAGGGTGAGTCATGGGGGGGGGAACTGCCTACAGGGGCTACGCCAGGGTGAGTCATGGGGGGGCACTGCCTACAGGAGCTACGTCAGGGTGAGTCATGGGGGGGGGGAACTGCCTACAGGAGCTACGCCAGGGTGAGTCATTGGGGGGGGGCACTGCCTACAGGGGCTACGCCAGGGTGAGTCATTGGGGGGGGGCACTGCCTACAGGGGCTACGTCAGGTTGAGTCATGGGGGGGGAAACTGCCTTCAGGGGCTATGTCATTGGGGGGGGGCACTGCCTACAGGGGCTACGTCAGGTTGAGTCATGGGGGTGGGACTGCCTATAGGGGCTATGTCATGGGGGGAAACTGCCTTCAGGGGCTATGTCATGGGGGGGAAACTGCCTTCAGGGGCTACGTCATGGTGAGTCATTGGGGGGGGGAAACTGCCTTCAGGGGCTACGTCATGGTGAGTCATTGGGGGGGGAAACTGCCTTCAGGGGCTACGTCAGGGTGAGTCATTGGGGGCAAATTGCCTTCAGGGGCTATGTCATGGGGGGGGGGGAACTGCCTACATGAGCTACGTCATGGGGGGGGGGGGAAACTGCCTTCAGGGGCTATGTCATGGTGAGTCATTGGGGGGAAATTGCCTTCAGGGGCTATGTCATGGGGGGGGGGAACTGCCTACAGGGGCTACGTCATGGGGGGGGGGGGGGGGGGGGAACTGCCTTCAGGGGCTATGTCATGGGGCGGGGGAACTGCCTTCAGGGGCTACGTCATGGGGGGGAATTGCCTTCAGGGGCTATGTAGGGACGGGTGGCGCAGTGGTCTGTGCATCCGATCATCAGATCAAGGGGGGTGCTGGGGAACTCCAGTTCGAAACCCGCTCCTGCCGCCACTGCGTCAGGCCGTTGTGTCCTTGGGCAAGACACTTCACCCGGATTTGCTCCTGTGGGTAATGTCCACAGTACATGTATAATACTAATGTGTAATTGTAAAAGCGCCTCGATGACCTCGAGGCGTGAAGATGGACGGTGTGGCGCAGTGCGCTGTGCAATGATCATCAGATCAAGGGGTGAAACCCGCCGCTGCTGCGTCTGTAAAGCCGGTGTGTCCTTGGGCAAGACACTTCACCTGAACTTGCTCCTGTGGGTATTGTCCACAGTATCTGACCATTGCATGTATCATATATGTGTAATGTGTGTATATGTAAAGCGCTTTGAGTCATTGATAAAGCGCTATAATAAATGTAAGGAATTATTATTATTATTATGTCATGGGGGGGGAACTGCCTACAGGGGCTACGTCATGGGGGGGGGGAACTGCCTTCAGGGGCTATGTCATGGGGGGGGGGAACTGCCTTTAGGGGCTATGTCATGGGGGGGGGGGAACTGCCTTCAGGGGCTACGTCATGGTGAGTCATGGGGGGGGGGGAACTGCCTACAGGGGCTACGTCATGGGGGGGGGGGGGCACTGCCTACAGGGTTATAAATAACTGTGATTGATTGGCATTTGTCTCCATTAGATCCCAAAGCCCAGCGGGGTGAAGAAAGGCTGGCAGCGAGCCTTCGCTCTGGTCTCTGACTGCAAACTGTTCCTGTACGACGTCCCAGAGGGAAAGACCTCACAGCCAGGGGTGGTGGCCAGTCTGGTGCTGGATCTCAGGTAACCCCACCTAACCTGACCCAGTCTGGTTCTGGATCTCAGGTAACCCCACCTAATCTGACCCAGTCTGGTGCTGGATCTCAGGTAACCCCACCTAACCTGACCCAGTCTGGTGCTGGATCTCAGGTAACCCCACCTAACCTGACCCAGTCTGGTGCTGGATCTCAGGTAACCCCACCTAATCTGACCCAGTCTGGTGCTGGATCTCAGGTAACCCCACCTAATCTGACCCAGTCTGGTGCTGGATCTCAGGTAACCCCACCTAACCTGACCCAGTCTGGTGCTGGATCTCAGGTAACCCCACCTAACTTGACCCAGTCTGGTGCTGGATCTCAGGTAACCCCACCTAATCTGACCCAGTCTGGTGCTGGATCTCAGGTAACCCCACCTAACCTGACCCAGTCTGGTGCTGGATCTCAGGTAACCCCACCTAACCTGACCCAGTCTGGTGCTGGATCTCAGGTAACCCCACCTAACCTGACCCAGTCTGGTGCTGGATCTCAGGTAACCCCACCTAACCTGACCCAGTCTGGTGCTGGATCTCAGGTAACCCCACCTAACCTGACCCAGTCTGGTGCTGGATCTCAGGTAACCCCAAAGAGCTACAAGGGTTCAGGATCCACTGGCAGTCTGGAGCACCTTGAAATGCAGAGGTCTTTGAAGAGGGTTCAGCTTGGGGAAGAGTTGTGTGTACTGTTTTGAGATTTGAAAAGACAGTCGGTAGTGAATAAAAGCTGCTGCACACATTTTATTCTGGGGGACTTGAAGAGTTTTCTGATTAACAACATACTGTGCCGTGTTCTCCAGAGAGGAGGAGTTCTCCGTCAGCTCGGTCTTGGCGTCAGATGTGATCCACGCCACCAGGAAGGACATTCCCTGCATCTTCAGGGTAGGAAACCCCATCCTCTCTGCCCCCCCCCCCCCCCCCCCCCCCCGGGTTACTCTCTGACCCCCATGTGACCCCTGTATTTGTTGTGCTCCTGCTCAGGTGACGTCCTCGCAGCTGGTCTCTCAGCTGTCCTCTGTGTCTCTGCTGCTGCTGGCGGAGAGCGAGGTAGAGAAGAGGAAGTGGGTCCGGATCCTGGAGGGTCTGCAGAGCATCCTCACCAAGAACCAGCTGAAGAACCGACAGGTCCACGTGCTGCATGAGGCCTACGACGCCTCGCTGCCCATCATCAAGACCACGCTGTCTGCAGCTGTGCTCGGTCAGAAACCCCCTGAGAGTTACCTGTCTGTAGATACACCAACACCTGTCTGTCTGTAGATACACCAACACCTGTCTGTCTGTAGATACACCAACACCTGTCTGTCTGTAGATACACTAACACCTGTCTGTCTGTAGATACACCAACACCTGTCTGTAGATACACCAACACCTGTCTGTCTGTAGATACACTAAAACACCTGTCTGTAGATACACCAACACCTGTCTGTCTGTAGATACACTAACACCTGTCTGTCTGTAGATACACCAACACCTGTCTGTCTGTAGATACACCAACACCTGTCTGTCTGTAGATACACCAACACCTGTCTGTAGATACACTAACACCTGTCTGTCTGTAGATACACCAACACCTGTCTGTCTGTAGATACACCAACACCTGTCTGTCTGTAGATACACTAACACCTGTCTGTCTGTAGATACACCAACACCTGTCTGTCTGCAGATACACTAACACCTGTCTGTCTGTAGATACACTAACACCTGTCTGTCTGTAGATACACCAACACCTTCTGTCTGTAGATACACCAACACCTGTCTGTCTGTAGATACACCAACACCTGTCTGTCTGTAGATACACCAACACCTGTCTGTCTGTAGATACACTAACACCTGTCTGTAGATACACCAACACCTGTCTGTCTGTAGATACACTAACACCTGTCTGTCTGTAGATACACCAACACCTGTCTGTAGATACACCAACACCTGTCTGTCTGTAGATACACTAACACCTGTCTGTCTGTAGATACACTAACACCTGTCTGTCTGTAGATACACCAACACCTGTCTGTCTGTAGATACACCAACACCTGTCTGTCTGTAGATACACCAACACCTGTCTGTCTGCAGATACACCAACACCTGTCTGTAGATACACTAACACCTGTCTGTCTGCAGATACACCAACACCTGTCTGTCTGTAGATACACCAACACCTGTCTGTCTGTAGATACACTAACACCTGTCTGTAGATACACCAACACCTGTCTGTCTGTAGATACACTAACACCTGTCTGTCTGTAGATACACCAACACCTGTCTGTCTGTAGATACACTAACACCTGTCTGTAGATACACCAACACCTGTCTGTAGATACACCAACACCTGTCTGTCTGTAGATACACTAACACCTGTCTGTCTGTAGATACACAACACCTGTCTGTCTGTAGATACACTAACACCTGTCTGTCTGTAGATACACCAACACCTGTCTGTAGATACACCAACACCTGTCTGTCTGTAGATACACCAACACCTGTCTGTCTGTAGATACACCAACACCTGTCTGTAGATACACCAACACCTGTCTGTCTGTAGATACACCAACACCTGTCTGTCTGTAGATACACTAACACCTGTCTGTCTGTAGATACACCAACACCTGTCTGTCTGTAGATACACTAACACCTGTCTGTAGATACACCAACACCTGTCTGTCTGTAGATACACTAACACCTGTCTGTCTGTAGATACACCAACACCTGTCTGTCTGTAGATACACTAACACCTGTCTGTCTGTAGATACACCAACACCTGTCTGTCTGTAGATACACTAACACCTGTCTGTCTGTAGATACACCAACACCTGTCTGTAGATACACCAACACCTGTCTGTAGATACACCAACACCTGTCTGTCTGTAGATACACCAACACCTGTCTGTCTGTAGATACACCAACACCTGTCTGTAGATACACTAACACCTGTCTGTAGATACACCAACACCTGTCTGTCTGTAGATACACTAACACCTGTCTGTCTGTAGATACACCAACACCTGTCTGTCTGTAGATACACTAACACCTGTCGGTCTGTAAGATACACTAACACCTGTCTGTCTGTAGATACACCCAACACCTGTCTGTAGATACACCAACACCTGTCTGTAGATACACCAACACCTGTCTGTAGATACACCAACACCTGTCTGTCTGTAGATACACCAACACCTGTCTGTAGATACACTAACACCTGTCTGTAGATACACCAACACCTGTCTGTCTGTAGATACACTAACACCTGTCTGTCTGTAGATACACCAACACCTGTCTGTCTGTAGATACACTAACACCTGTCTGTCTGTAGATACACTAACACCTGTCTGTCTGTAGATACACCAACACCTGTCTGTAGATACACCAACACCTGTCTGTAGATACACCAACACCTGTCTGTAGATACACCAACACCTGTCTGTCTGTAGATACACCAACACCTGTCTGTCTGTAGATACACCAACACCTGTCTGTCTGTAGATACACCAACACCTGTCTGTCTGTAGATACACCAACACCTGTCTGTCTGTAGATACACCAACACCTGTCTGTCTGTAGATACACTAACACCTGTCTGTCTGTAGATACACCAACACCTGTCTGTCTGTAGATACACTAACACCTGTCTGTCTGTAGATACACTAACACCTGTCTGTCTGTAGATACACCAACACCTGTCTGTCTGTAGATACACCAACACCTGTCTGTCTGTAGATACACTAACACCTGTCTGTCTGTAGATACACCAACACCTGTCTGTCTGTAGATACACCAACACCTGTCTGTCTGTAGATACACCAACACCTGTCTGTCTGTAGATACACTAACACCTGTCTGTAGATACACCAACACCTGTCTGTCTGTAGATACACTAACACCTGTCTGTAGATACACCAACACCTGTCTGTCTGTAGATACACTAACACCTGTCTGTCTGTCTGTAGATACACTAACACCTGTCTGTCTGTAGATACACTAACACCTGTCTGTCTGCAGATACACTAACACCTGTCTGTCTGTCTGTAGATACACTAACACCTGTCTGTCTGCAGATACACTAACACCTGTCTGTCTGTCTGTAGATACACTAACACCTGTCTGTCTGTAGATACACTAACACCTGTCTGTCTGCAGATACACTAACACCTGTCTGTCTGCAGATACACTAACACCTGTCTGTCTGTCTGTAGATACACTAACACCTGTCTGTCTGTAGATACACTAACACCTGTCTGTCTGTAGATACACTAACACCTGTCTGTCTGCAGATACACTAACACCTGTCTGTCTGTCTGTAGATACACTAACACCTGTCTGTCTGTAGATCACTAACACCTATGTAGATACACCAACACCTGTCTGTCTGTAGATACACTAACACCTGTCTGTCTGCAGATAACACTAACACCTGTCTGTTGCAGATACAACACACCTGTATTTCTGTAGATACACTAACACCTGTCTGTCTGCAGATACACCAACACCTGTCTGTCTGTCTGTAGATACACTAACACCTGTCTGTCTGCAGATACACTAACACCTGTCTGTCTGCAGATACACTAACACCTGTCTGTCTGCCAGATACCAACTACCACTGTCTGTCTGTCTGTAGATACACTAACACCTGTCTGTCTGTAAGATACACTAACACCTGTCTTGTCTGCAGATACACTAACACCTGTCTGTCTGCAGATACACTAACACCTGTCTGTCTGTCTGTAGATACACTAACACCTGTCTGTCTGTAGATACACTAACACCTGTCTGTCTGTAGATACACTAACACCTGTCTGTCTGCAGATACACTAACACCTGTCTGTCTGTCTGTAGATACACTAACACCTGTCTGTCTGTAGATACACTAACACCTGTCTGTCTGTAGATACACTAACACCTGTCTGTAGATACACCAACACCTGTCTGTCTGTAGATACACTAACACCTGTCTGTCTGCAGATACACTAACACCTGTCTGTCTGCAGATACACTAACACCTGTCTGTCTGTAGATACACTAACACCTGTCTGTCTGCAGATACACTAACACCTGTCTGTCTGTAGATACACTAACACCTGTCTGTCTGCAGATA